GATGCGCTGACAGAATTCACAGAGGTTAGAGGGGACATGGCTTCCCTTTTGCAGCCCAGGATGGCTCCTCCTCGGCGCCCGGATCCTCCAGCTCCCCATCTTCGTACGGGCCGGGGCGGCAAGGGCAAGAATAAGGGGGAAGGCAAAGGGAAGCATTCGTCGGGCGGTCAGGGCAGTCAGTCTTCGACAGGGGGAGCCAAATGGGTGACGAAGTTTGAGGACAAAGGCAAGACTCGCTTCCTATGCAGGGATTTTTCTTCACAGAAGGGCTGCTCTTTTCCGGATTGCAAGTTCGAGCATTTGTGTCCGGTTCCACGCCCAGATGGCCGCCCATGCCTTGGCAAACACCCTGCTTACCAGCACAAGGCTGCTGGTCACTGACTCCCGGACGATTCTGATGTTCGTACAGGTCGCCCCGATTCTTTGACTTTGTGCATTGAGGACACTACAGAGCAGTTCGATTGGGACACTTGCCTTCGGGTTCTTCAACAACACTGTCCCCCGTCGGCTCCTCTTCTTCGATCTCACGTTCTCGAGGCTGGTCGCTCTCAGGCGAGCTATTTCAACGCCGGGGCCCGCGCGGGATCACAAAGTGGGATATGCAATTTTACTTTTCAACATGAGCTTTTGGTCAAGTATGTGAACCTTTTTCTTCGGACGATCTTTTCGGAGGCTACATGGACCAGCTTCTGCATTTCACACAACGAGTTTGCGCATCTTCACTCGGACCTCAATTTTCCAGGATCTTTGAATTACACCTGCAGCTTGGGCCCGTTTGACCAGGGTCGCCTTTGGGTTCAACTCCCGGCGGAATGTCTTCCGCATCTTGAGCGGGTTCCTCCTCCTGACTCTACGGCTGATCCTTCACTCCGAGGGGTTCTAGTCAGTACTAGGCGCTCTGGCTTCTCCTTTGATGGTCGTCTTCCGCACTGCTCGGAGCCGTGGTCGGGGGATCGCTGGGTGATCACGGCCTACACTTCAGCTACCTGGCAATCACTGTCGGGGGTGGATTCACAGCGGCTGGCGGATCTTCATTTTCCAATGCCGGCCAAGGAGGATTCACCGCTTAACCAAGTGTTGGGGCCGGCTCCCGCTTTGCCGAGCCCTCCAGAGATTTTGGATCTACAGCAGGTTCAGGGCAATCTCTTCGTTGAGCTTTTTTCGGGTTCATCTCGGCCCTTGTCTGCGGCCTTTTTGCAAGCTGGCACATCGGTGATGTCTTTGGATATCCTTCGCAGCGCGACGCATGACTTGACGAAGGACTCGGTCTTCGAGCTTCTCCTTCGCTTGGCTTTTTCGGGTGCGATATCTCTCCTGCATGCAAGCCCTCCCTGCAGAGATTACTCAAGGTGCAAGTTGCGCAAAGGCCCGGGCCCCAAGCCTTTGCGCACGCCGGCTCACATGGATGGCGTACCGGGCTTGTCTTCTGCGGACAAGGTGCGCTTGGAACTCAGCTCACAACTCATGTCTCGCGCAGTGGAATTAGCCCACGCCACTTTCAAGGCCGGCGGCCACTACACCTTTGAGAATCCGGCCAACTCGATGATCTGGGACGAGCCTGCGGTTCGCCTGCTACTTCAGAAGAGCAGTGCCGATGTCATCATTGTCTCTGCCTGTGCATACGGTTGGGATATTTACAAGCGCTGGGCTTTTGCATCCACTTTCCGGGACATGCAGCAGCTCGCCGCTGACTGTCGCCGCCCGGACGGCTCTCATGCCCAGGTGGCTGGGATTTTGGACTCATCCGGAGGCTTCATTTCTCAACAGACTTCGGAATTTCCGGAGCCGTTGGCAGCTAAGTACGTGTCCTCGGCTCTCCCACTTTTTCAAAAATCCGCGAATCCGGTGGATGTGTCCCTGGACCAACTCTTGCAATTATTGCCGACCAAAGGTCAATTTGATCCCCCTTTTGCACATCAAGATGGGGCTGGCATCTTCTCGGTTCCAGACTGGTCATTCCCTCCTTCGGGCTCCGTGGACAAGCTGGGTCAAGTCCGACAGGCTCTGATGTCCAAGCTCTTTGCAATGAAGGCTCCTCTTCGGCTTCGTGAGCACGTGGCCTCCAAGGCTGAGCAGCCTCTTTTCTCGGAACAGGAGGTTGCAGAGTTTCGTGCGGTGTTTCAAGAATTCCTGGAGGCATCTTCCGGCCAAAGGGTGGACTGGTCGGTGAAACCTCACCAACCATACGCTCTTCAGGCTTTGCGCCAACTTTCGGAAGTTCTGGATGACCCCGATTCCTCTTTGTTCCCAACGTTGTTGGAGGGCGCCCCGTCAGGGTACTTTCAGGATATTCCTCCCAGTCGGGTTTTCATTCCTCTGGGAAGCGATTCAGCACCTCCGACAGATCAGCTGGTCGTTCACAATTCCAATTGGAAAGGTGCTCGGGACAACCCGGAGGTTTTAGAATCTTTGATCCAAGAGGAGCTGGCGAACGACTACATCGAGGAGGTCTCTCTGGTGGAGGTTCGTTGTCGCTGGGAGCATGTTGCAGTGGGAAAATTAAATGTGGTGATAGTCCCGGAGAAGAACCCTCGTCTCACAGTGGACGANNAACCCATCATGCAGCATCCCTGAGCGCTACAATCTACCAGGCCTTTCAGACCTCCAGGCGGGATATCCACTTCGGGGTCCGGCTTCGATTCTAGGCGTTTTTCCCCTGGACGTCAAGGCAGCTCATAAATCCATTCTTTTGCGCGAGAGGGACAGAGGTCTTGCTGGCATTACTTTTCAGGACAGGACTTTCTTCTACAGGGTCATGCCGTTCGGCATGTCTTGCAGCGCATACTGGTGGCAACGGTTATCAGGATTCCTGGTAAGGACGTGGCACAGCCTTCTATGGCTGAGCCACTTCCTTAGCATGTACGTCGATGATCTCATCTTGGCGATGCAGACTGGGGCCTTGGACATTTCGGCCTGTTTGATCCTGGCATTTGCGGCGGTCTTCGGGGTTCGCCTCTCATGGCCTAAATTACAACTGGGGTCCTCGGTGGTCTGGATCGGATGGAGCCTGAACTACCGGGCAGGGACAGTTCAGGTTACTGCAGCAAAAAAGGAGAAACTTTCACGTGTTCTTCGTCCTCTTTTGGGAGAGGGCAGAGTGGAGCTTCGGGACCTTCAGAAGGCACTGGGATTGCTTCAGTGGCTCACGCAATTACACGTGGAGCTGCGTCCTTGGTTGTCAGTTCTGTACGATGACGCCACTCGTCCCCCGGCTACATCTTACTCCATTGATCCTGCTTACTGGACGCAGCTGTACGCGTGCCTGAGCGATGCCTTGGTTTTCATCACCGTCCCTCCTGGCACAGCCATTCCTCTGGGTTCCAAGCTAATAAGCGCTCGCCACGTCGACATCGCGTGCAAGGCTGATCTACGGAAGGTCCCTCTGACCTCTAAACGGATTTGGCTTCGCATCGCAGACCCACTGGCACGCTTTCGTAGGCTCTCTAAACTGAGTCGGAAGCTGCTATCTTTCTGGTATGATTGGAGCCAGTCTTATCACTTTCATGAGTGTCTTCATTTGCCTCCGCGTCGCCAGGATTGTGTCATGGCGGCGGACGCTTTCGCTTCGGGAGAGGAGCTTGGCATTGGCGGCTTCATCGAGTTCCCTGGCTCATCACCGATATGGTTCAGCGAAAGGTACAACTTGTCGGACTTCAAGTACCTTGATCTGCCTCTTCATCGCGATGCTCAGAGGGACATATCCTGCTGGGAAACTCTGGCTCAAGTGGGCCTCATGCTTCTTTTTGCTCACTTTTGTCCGGGTGGCCGAATGCGATTGACACTGCCTTCTTTTTCAGATAACACAGGCGCGGAGGCAGTTTGCGCGATGGTCAGCACTCGTCTTGGCATTCGGCCGGACGTCCAACACATTTCTGGCGAGCGGAACGTAGAAGCGGACCTTCTTCCCGTTGGGATGAGCAGTCTCCTCTCGGAGGGCGTTGGGATCTTGATATGCGGTATCGCTTTTCCGTTCAGGATTTCTTCGATCAACGGCATGATGTCAGACTTTTTCCTTCGGATGCCAACATCCTTTGGAGGCTCCCACGCTGAGCCTGAGCTATGATTCTGGTAGCCACCCCTCTGTCCTTTCTTTTCCAAAACGCGGTTCTCGTCTCACTTAAATGTGGGGCGTGTTACTGGCGTTCCGTTCTCCTTCGTTTTGGCAGTGGCAGTTTCGGTTGGGGCTTTTGGTTAGCTGTCCCCGGTAATGATCTTTGCTGCTATGCGTTACTTACCGGCGACATCCCACCACTGCCAAAATGAAGGTTGGTCCGAGTGTAGTGCGAGGGTCTCCATGAGTTGATGGAATATTTCATATTATTATCAGATATTTGGAACATTTACCTACTTTTGCTTTGGGAGACTTTCGATTGCTTTTCGCGTTTCCCTTTTTAGAAGGTGCTCTGCTTTTGGTTCGCTCTGCCCAAAGTGTTTTGTTTTTCAGAACGGTCTTCGTGTTTACTCGAACTGTTTTGCAAAAACTACAACATCTTTGGCTTTGCTTGGCATGTCGTTTTTCCATTGACATGGTCTTTCCTTGAGGCATGCGAACTTTATTCTTTGAGACTTCTGATGCAGCTAGTTTACAGCGGCGGCCGTGAAGTGCTCGAACAACCTGTTTGTTCGTTTTGCCCTCCCTCCTCTCCCTTAGTGCACTCCAAGGCCGCCTTAGCTTCCGGGACCTAGAGTCTTCTCTTCATCGATCACAGATCGGTGGCTTTTGCGAACGCTGATCCAAGATCGGCTTCTTTTTAACTGTGCGCGGCTGAATCCAAGCAATGTCGAGCATAACTCGTTTGCTTGTTTCCATTGCCGGGGGGGGCTTTTGGTTAGCTGTCCCCGGT